AGAAGGTGATCAGGTTAGTCAAGCAGGATTTCCCTTTGGTGAATCCATGCTGGCTACTCCTGAGCACCTTCTTGTCCTCCATATGCTTGGAGGCAGCAGCCAGGATGAGCTGTCCCATCATTTTTCCAGGGATGGAGGTGAGACTAACCGGCCTGTAGTTGCCCGGGTCCTCCTCCTTGCCCTTTTTGAAGATTGGCATGACATTGGCTTTCTTCCAGTCCTCAGGCACCTCTCCCATTTTCCGGGACCTTTCAAAGATGATGGAGTGTGGTTTAGCAGTAACATCTGCCAGCTCACGCAACACTCTGGGGTGCATCCCATCAGAGCCCATGGATTTGTGGGTATCAAGTTTCCCTAGGCACCCTCTGACCCCATCTTCCTCTACTCAGGGCAAGTCTTCCTCTCTCCAGCTCTCTTCTCTTGTCCATAGAGTCTGCGATTCCAGAAGGCTGCCCTTGGCAAACACTGAAGCAAAGGTGGCAGTCAGCAGCTCTGCTTTCTCCGTGTTTCTTGTAATCAGAGCACCCACCTGTTCACCAGTGAATCCATGTTCTCCCTAATCTTCCTTTTGCCATTGATACATCCGAAGAAGCTCTTCTTGTTATTTTTAACATCCCTTGACAGATTTTGTTCCAAATGTGCCTTAGTTTTCCTTGTCACATCCTTGCATTCCCTGACAATGTTCCTGTATTCCTCCCAAGGGGCCTGCCCTTTCTTCCACATTCTGTATATTGCTTTCTTTTGTTTGAGTTTTGCCAGGAGCTCCCTGCTCATCCATGCAGGCCTCCTGCCCTCCCTGCCTGACTTTTTACTCATAGGGATGCACCATTGCTGAGCGTGGAGGAAGTGTTGCTTGAAAACTAACCAGCTCTCCTGGGCCCCCCTTCCTTCTAGAGCCCTATCCCATGGGATTCTTCCAAGAAGGTCCCTGAAGAGGCCAAATTCTGCCCTCCTGAAGTCTAAGGTTGCAAGGCCACTTACAGCCCTGCTTCCCCCTCGTTGGATCCTGAACTCCACCAACTCATGACCGCTGCAGCCACAGTAATATAGTATTCATGAATTCAAAGTATTCATGAACTTTCATGGCTTTGTAGTATATGGTTATGCTAAACATATGCAAAGGAACAGACTTTATTTTAATAACCTGAATGGAAACTAAAGAGCCTAGGAGGAAGCATCAATTATATATAGTAACCACTTAAGTATCAAGATTCAGAGCAATTTTACTGCATATATGAATATTCATATTTTCCCAAAGGATAGGAAAAATAAAATAAAAAAATACAATGTCCTGAGCATACACTAAGCAATGTCCTGCCTGAGCACACTTTCCTTTCCATTTTTCTCAGAAAAGACTCAACTCAGGAAATAAATCAGTAGTGCCCTGAAGAGATAGCACATCATTAACATGGGTTGTTTGACTCGAGAGAGCAACACAGAGTCTCCTGAGTCCTTTCTAATACCAGACCAAAAGGAGCACAGCCTCTGTTCCATCAGCAGTATCTGTGAGCTCCTTAAACACCACACATTTGCTGCTGAGCCAGTTGCACAGTCCTGGTTTGTTTTAGACGACTGCAGTGTTTCCAAAAGATAAAGCCAAGCATGCATGCTGATAGCCAGCACATCCAGCATTTGCTGTTACAGTAGCTTCTTCTTAAGAGACCAACATTTTTTTCCCCGACGCAATTTGGGCATCAGATTCTTTGAAAAGAGCTGTTAAGAGCCATTTCGGTGGAAGCCAACTACCACTGCTAAACCACAGCAGCCACGTGAGAACTTCTGGTCACAGGGAGATGCCAGTAACTGCGAATGAATGTTGCTCCTTGTGGCGATATTTTCCCTCGGTTTTGGCTTAGTTGAGTTACACTTCTGAAGTAAAAATAGCATGTCCTACTACCTCCCAGGTACAGAATAGTTGGATCAGTGTACGAGCAGGAACTGGCCTTACTGCAATAAGCAGCAACCTGCGTGGGGGAGTTTCACATGCATGAGCTGCTCAGCAGGGGCAAATAAAACTCGACTGTGCTGCATTAATTCTACTTACATTAACAGTAAATTCTTTACACTCTAGAAGGATATTGTTAGAAATTATTTTTTCCTACATCTTAATAGTTTTAAAAGTATTCATTTTACATTTCTGGATCAGTCTAGAAAGAGTTAATCCAAAAAAAAAAAAAAAAAAAAAAAAAAACCACTTGCTGGAAATACAAACAATAAGCTGAATTTCTGGAGAAAAAAAAAATGGCTTTCACATTTGCCAATGTGATTCACC